AGAGCAGGGTATTTATATGGGCATCTAGCCCTTAATAAATGACTTGGTCTTTTAAAAATGTTTATGAAGGATTTTAACATCCCCTAAACATGAAAATTTAATACAGTCGCACTTTGCTTGACAACCACATTATGTTCTGTGAAACAGATATGGTGTGATTTGGACATTATGTGAATGCCATGTTATGTACTGGTAATCCCTGGGTTCCAAACCAGTTTTTTACAGGTACCTTTTTATATATTAAATTGTTTTTTATAAAACATTTCCATATACGCTAAAATATCTCCAGCTTGTAAAGTAGGCTCATTTGTTGTTACAAACCCCTGTATGTACCCCAAATTTGTAATACGTTTTACCGGTATTAGGACCACAGACATATATACAGCTGTCCAATGGCTATTATGTATGGTATATTAAGATGGACTGACAGTGGCTGCATCTATGATCTCAAATATAAGAACAATTGTGGGGTGAAGAGACATCGGACAGTGTAAGACATGAAAAAATAATAATAATTTATATATTGTCAAAGGTTCGTGAGGGAGGGAGGGGAAAAAATGAGGAGTTGATCCCAAGGGCTCAAGTAGAAAGAACATGTCTTGAGAATGATGATGGCAACATATGTACAAATGTGCTTGACACAATGGATGGATGCATGGATTATGATAAAAGTTGTACGAGCCCCCAATAAAATGATTAAAAAAAACACACAATTGTGAGGATAGCACAGGGTGTTCCTTCTATTGTATGTAAGGTCTTTATGAGTCAAAACTAACTCCAGTGCACCTCACAGCCACAATGGCTAGTGTATGTCACATGACTGTAGCACTTGGGAATAATGCTTCAGTATAGCATGATCATTAGCATAGAATAAACGATTCAATCTTACATGAGTCTACATTCAGTACGTTGAACCTAATCGCCATTTGTTGGTTTAATCTCTGTTCTTGCATTTGTGCACACTTATGCTAACTGTAGTGGGAGTTGGATAAATAAATGTGAGAGACAGGATGTGATCTGCACTCCAGCCAGGAACGCTGCATCTCATTAAGCCAATGTATATCATTATTTTGTGTTATTCTAAGAAGAAAGAAAAATTGCTGTCAATCAAGCCACCGTATTTTCTTTCATGTTTACTGTAAGAAGTCCCCTGTCTTGGCCTCCGTGAAATCTGGTGCACAGGAGGGAAAAAATGGTCCTATAGTAATATACAACCAATATACGTTTTATACACACACACATATATATCATATCTATATATAAGTTATCTAGCAAGTTTAAATTAATATCATTTTAGGCATAATTTGGTTATATTTACTAAAAGCTTTCACATTTTTAATCCTTTGAACCTGTAGGTCCTTAATGGATCAGGTTACAGGTTGGGCTGCTAACTGTAAGGTCAGGAGTTCAGAACCACCAGCCGATCTGTGGAAGAAAGATCAATCTTTCTCTACTCCCATAAAGCCTGACAGTCTCAGAAACCCACCGGGGCTCCCCCCTCTTTGTAGTGTCGCTGTGGGTCTAACTTGACTCCCTGGCCGTGAGTTTGGGGTTCTGAGCCTGCAGCGTCACAGTCCTGGCTGACTACTGGAGTGCTGGCCATGAAGTCAGCAGTGCACACCCACAGCTGCTCCGAGGGAGGAAGAGGAGGCCTTCTGCTCCCGTGAAGATTGACTTCTACTCCGTGAGTGGGAATTGATTCGATGGCTGTGAGATTTTTGAGTGGGTAGAAAGTCACACTCATGGCAGAAACTCATTATTGGCAGAATCGTTCATGGTCAAATTTATGTGGTCAAAACCCCATAACCGCATAAAAACCCAATAATGGGAAATAATTGCCTATTCTTCAGCTGTTAAAATCATGTTTATGAAGAGTTTTCAACATTTTAACAAATGCTTCATTGAAAAGTGTCAGTAGTGGTGACAACATCAGTCATGTCTCCCACTAACCACTGTGCAAAAATGGGTGTGGGAACAACAAAGCAATGCCTGTAGTTGGCTGACTGGGGAGTAAGGCGTCAGTTTTAAAAATATGTCTATCCTTTTCATGTTTTCCTAATATACTATCATAAGAAAATATATAAAATTACATGCCTACTTTTACATTTAAGGCGGGGGTGTGTGTGTGATTTTATAGAGATACTCTGACTTGGCCCTTTCTTTTACCCAGAGGGTTGATGTCGCTGAAATTATTCCATCTTGCCATATGTTTCAAGCAGCAAGCCTGCATGATTCCTTCCCAGAACCGATAGTCCCATTTTGTAAAATACATGCCAGTCCAAATCTCACCCAGTCTGCGTTTAATTCTCCCACTGCCTACCGGGGCTGTGGGATGGAAGAGACTGGCGAATGGAGTGAGGATTTAGGCGGTTGATTCTACTCAGGTCTTCAAGACGGTAACTCCTTTCGTCCATTGGGAAGGCACAGCACCAAGACCTTGCCATTGAGCCCATTCTCGTTCCCAGTGACTCTCCCAGACATTGGAACTGCCCAGACAGCTGCCACGGCTGTCATCTCTCCAGGAGCAGACGCCCCGACTTTCTCCCACGGAGGGGCTGGTGGGTCCGAACCACCGACGTTTTGGGTTGCAGCCAAGTGCTTCACCACGGCACCTTCGGGGCTCTTAAGGGACTGCAGGCATGGGAAATGAACAAGTGTTGTGGAGAGTTTGGGGTATCGTCTGAAGTCACTGATGAAAGCGAGTAGTGAGAGAAAGCATAGACCCTGCAGAGTAAAAGACCTGGGTTCAGTCCCTCGGGCCACAGCGCTTCCTCTGGCAGGCCTTGGGCCCTATGTGAACACATACCCAGTGTTGCAGAGTCGATTCGGACTCCTAGCCATCCTGTAAGACAACGTACAACTTCCCAGTAGGTTTCCCAAGGCTGTAATTGTACAGAACCAGACTTCACACCTCTCTGCTCTGGAGCTGCGGGTGTGTTCGAACCAGTGACCTTTCCATCCGCCACTGACAGCGCAACCACGGTGCAACCAGGAATCCTTCCAACAAACAAAACCAAAAGTAACTCACTGCCATCGAGTCAATCCGATACATAGGAACCCTGGTGGCATTGTGGTTACACGTTGGGCTGCAAACCACAAGTGCCTCAGTTCAAACCTACCAACCATTTTCCCGGAGAAAGATGAGGCTTTCTACTCCCATAAAGAGTTACCAAGAAGGGCAGTTCTACTATGTCCGATAGGGTCGCTTTGAGGATTCTTTATGCAACTATGAATAGTAATCATCACTATCATCAAGTTGATTCTGACACATGGTGACCTGAGATAGGGTTTCTGAGGCTGTAAACCTCATCTTTCTCTGGAGAAGTGGCTGGTGGGCTTGAACCACTGGACTGCAGGCCAATGTTTACTGGGCTCCTTGTGTTCTGACACAGATGCGCTCATTTCGAGGAAATTGTTCCACGGTGCGTCTGCTGCCTTGTTTGTGTGTGACCTCACTAAGGCAGGTGCCTCTTTCTGTGCTGGTGACACTGTAGCCCACACCCACCAACCCAAACATTCCCACCTCTGGAGCAAAGGCAATAGAAATAGTTTTACATCCACAGAGCAGTGCCCCCGTCACCTCCTCCAACAAGTTCTACCGACTTGAAACAAAGGCAGCGAGTGAGCAATTCTCATCCTTTTAAAGCAAACTTTGGGCTGGGAGGAAGGAGGAAGCAGGGTCGGAGGCACAAAGGGAGAGGGGTGTTGGGAATTGGCTGGGTTGTGCTCTGTGCTCAAGGACTGTGCGCTTGTCAGAGCAAATGCAAGTTGTAAGCAGCTGTGTGTTTTCCAGTGTATTTTCAGAGGTCCGGCGATAAAACAGGATCTTATATTTGTATGTGAGGGGGCTCCAAAGCGTTCCTGGGGAAATGGAATTAAAGATCATGGCATTTTCCCATGGACTGTTTGAAGCCCCCTCCTCTGGACCAATTCCTGTATCCACTGACTCTGACGAAGAGGGAGAACGGCCCCTCCCGGGGCAGATGGCTCTTTACTAAGCCTTGTGTTGACCTTCCACTCTCAGAAAAGCCCACCTCCTCGTCCAATTGCTACTTTTAGTGGGAAGAAAAGAAACCAGTCAGACCTGGTCCGGAAGTGTTTTTTCACCTTTTAAAATTGGAGGCTGGCTGGGACTCGAGTTCACGGTACTGAGTGCTGTCATGGAACATGCATCGATGAGATGTGGATTCCCTGAGGATTCCCTCACCGGCTCCACCGGGTCCCTGCGGGGAGACCATGGTTGTGTAGACCTGTTCTCTTCCTGTCTTGAGTACAGTTAGCTCTGTGCCTCCTTGCCGGTGCTGTGGCATGCCGTGCTTTACTGACGACAGCATGCTGGGGGTCAGCTTACTTCCAGTTTGCTGTTCTTTGGGATGGCGGTCAATGTCCACCGTCTGGGGATGGCACCTTTAGTTCCTCAGCTGAGTTAGCCTGTGGCACAATCACATGTGTTAATTATGTGTTCCTAGAATGTCAGGCATCCGGAATATGAAAATGTGGCTATTTTTCTTCATTGGCCTAAAATATCCTTCCATCCACAAAAGCTTGTTTGTCGTTTGTTACCATTTCAAATAATTGCTAAGATGGCTATTCCATCTTTGAACAACTCCCAAACTTTAGAAACTAGAATAAGAAAGCAAAGGAATCACCAGTTCACACGTTTTCATCTGCAGTAAATCTTCCCCCAGGCTGGGAAAAGTAATATATATGTGGTGGTGGACGGGGCTTGGATGTCATGGGCCTAAAGCTAAGGGAAGAAGGAATAGAAGGAAACATTTTTATGAAGTACATGTATTCGTTCAGCCCATTCAGTTACTAAATAACATTCATTAAAAAATCAAATACCCTTGTTTCTCAGCCATTTTGCTCCTATTTCCTTATAAGATCTGGCCCCTGATGACTCCAAAGGTTACAGTTGTCTGAAATGTCCCCGGGTACTTGTTCTGTTTTACGCTTGCTTATTAATTTGAAATTACATGCACAATTTTTATTATTTCAAGGCACTCAACCAGAACGCTGAACTAAGGAGTCGGTTGAGCAGAATACATTCAGAATCGATTATTTGTGAGCAGGTTGTCAGTGTAAATATTATTCCTAGCCCTGATGAGGTAAGATTCCTTTTCAGTAGATGTCAGCCACTTGTTTTATAGCCTTTACATTTACTGCACATTTTTATTTATTTTTATACAGTTCTTGCTCTGCTGATAAAATTCCTCCCATAAACATTTGTGTTGCTGACAGCTCAGTCTTCTTTGGAGGGAAGAGCAATCGTGAACTTGACATCATTGACATCATCTTGGTGATCAATGTTCTGTTTTTGTTTGGGGGATTTTTTTTTTTAATTATTCCTGTGTTCACATGATGCCATTGATTTTTTAGTTTATATTTCTGTATCAATTTGCGAATTTTCTGTGTCTGTCTCTGCATTCATTTTAAATGTTCATGATCCTCAAATGACCAGTGAGATGTTGAAACTCATTTTTACCTGAATAAAAATCTCCTTAAAGTTTCCTTTGAAAAAAATGAGCTGATGCCAGGGGCTTAAGTGGAGAGGAAATGTTTTGAGAATGATGAGGGCAATGAATGTACAATGTGCTTTACACAATTGATGTATGTATGGATTGT